GAAAATTATGGTGGGCATAATGCATTTTGCGGGGAATGAAGCCGATTTTAGAAAGGTACCTACGAAGGTGTTAAACAATAATGCAATACCGAGCGTTTTCGACTTTCCCATTCATTTAAAATAACGTAGAACTATTATTCGACATCCTTTACCAGCAAGACAACGGCAGTACCTATTTGTCTATTAGGTATAGACGTAACTAAGTACTTACTGGTACTAAGTATATTTCAGGTTTTGTTACAAGAAAAATAGGTAAGTCTGTTACATGTTCCATATGTGCAGATGCGATATTCGCATCAGAGAGTCATTCAAAGCTTTTAACTAGAAAAAATCGTGGAGGATTGTTGCACGTATCAAGCGATGCATTAAAAATTTGCCAAATTGCTGAAAATGTGTTCAGGTTTTTCATTCAATCCACACCACACCGCGTTGTAAACAAAATGGTTATCAGCAGTCTAAGAAAAATAAATAACAGTTACAGCCCATTTGGGTTTTTGGATAGGAATATATTGAATCAAAATCCGCTAAATAATCATATCTTACTACTTACAACTTTAGTTTTAAGAGTATATTTTCCCATACGTGTTCACCACCAAAATACACATATAAATCAAACTAGGACTAGAGTAAGACAGTTATATATCAATTTACTTCAAATAAAATACCAATAAATTCGATTAAAACAGTTAACAGCTGTATGTTATCTCTTTTTGCTACTAAAATTTAGAATAAACATGGCTAAAGCAAGCTGCAGAACGTACGTCTGCCCCGCAATGAACAGTTGGTTGCCTATCCTATATTGACAACAGGCGTTTATAGTAAAATCTACGTTACGCGCGGTCTAGTTATAACAAGTCTCTGCATTTTGGTGGTTGGGCGCAGGGGATGGCCTCCGGATCCTAGCAACAACATCGGCTAGGGGATTTTTCCCGATCAATTTCCTCTTTTTCTTTTCTTTCACTTTTTTAAACGGTTACACTATTTTTCCATACTACTGTTTGTTTTTCTTTTTTGTGTTGGGCTTCTTCCTTTTTCCGATGTATTCTATCGTTTAAGTACCAAGGGTTGCGATTGTATGGAGTTATTAAAGGGAATGGTTTCTTGTAGTTTTTTTTAATTTAGAGAGGGGGAAGTTTCTCGATTTCCTTTACCCTTGAGCAGCACATGGTCCTCATCCAAAACATTCTCGTTAGGTACTAGTATAGTGGTAGTTAAGGAAGTATTGTGTTGGTGAAGGAGGTGTGTGGAGTTTCTTTTGGTATTCAGCATGAGTGGATGAATCGATTGGCTTGGTATTAAAGGGGCGTGTTGTTGTGGGGGCGGGATGATTTTTATATGGGAATGGGTTTTCAAGATTGAAATTTTATTTTTCGATTGTCGGAAAACTTTGGACGTTTCCCTCCTGTCGGAGGAGAGCGGAGGTGTAATGATTTATTTTCTCCCTTACGAATCACTATTATTGTTTACGGTTTAGGTACTACTTGCCGCGAAGGATCCTGTAACATTTGACGCAATTTTTCGGCGCATAATGACAGTGCATTTTCTTACCTTGATTTCTGTGTGTGTCCATTTTAATCTCCCTTTTTCTTCTGTTACGTTCCTTTTTCTTCTTTACTCTTCATTTAGTTTTGTCGCCTTCAAAACTCTTCGAGAAGTCTTGTTTTGTTTCTTTTCTTGTTATTGATTACGGTTAATATTTAGTTTTATAATTAGGAATTTTCTTTTGGGTTTTGTTGGTGGTTCGTATACCAGTGGTGTCCCATTCGCTAGAATTCCTTTATTTCTTTTGTGATTATAAATATTTGAAATTCGCCTTTATTTTCCTTACCTATATCTATTGTTCCGTTTTTACCCTCTTCCTATTTCTTTTGCTTCTTTAATTTGTTCCCTATGGTTTTATGCTCGTTTATCTTTCACCCACATTGCTTTCTACGTTCTGTGTCGCTTCTTTGGTTTTCTCTGTAGCGTCCTCTGTCGTTTGTTTGTTGTATTAATTTTCCTTACGTTTATTTTCCCGCTTTTTTGTTATTTCCGCCTTGTGCCCGTTACTTTTTTATTTTTCCCCAAATTTCGTCCTTGATTGTGTGTTCGTCTTCTGATTTTATTTCCGGGTTCCATTCCAATAATCATCGTCGTTCTGTCGAGTGTCGTGCGTGCATGAGGTGCAAAAAAATTTTCTGATTTTCGATCCAAGCGTATTTGGGATTCAGCCTCTTTTTGATCGCCAAAAGTTCCAAGGAATTTATTGTTGCGAACCGCCCATATTTTGGATAATGTAGATAACTCAATTACACGCAGTTTAATTGTTCCACGATTATAACAACAATCTTTCGATGTGCGCTTCTGTTTCATTCTCCGTAAGTACCCCCTTGGGATTATTTTGTTCGTACAGCCTATATATATTTTTTAGAATTGTAATTAAATTCCTGTAATTCGTCGTACACCAATTGACTCTTCTTTAAGGCCTTGTAAGTATTTCTTTGGTTTGTTTGTCGTGCTTCGTATTGTTATTTCTCGTTTCCTTTTTAGGGCATTTTATTTACTGTACCGGTGTCGACCACCATCAGCCAGCTCCAAACATCAGAAGACACCGTTTGAGCCATCGTTTTCGTCTCCCTATCTAATCGTACCTTTCGCTATTCGGTACTTCCCCTACCGTTTAAATTCCGTTCCTCCACTCCTCTCCCCCCTATTTTCTCCTTATTCTCTGCGCCCTACGTTACCTTTAACATCGCCTGAGGACCCAGCCATTAATAGACAGCAAGTACACTATCATTAAACAAATTGTTTGTATCTCCCCTCTTTTTTCACCTCAACACCCCCCGTACATATGTAAAAAAAAAAGAAAGATAACATCTTAATATTAATCATTATTACTGCCGTTTGTAATTGTGAGATCTCGCAAAGCAGTTGAGGTAAGCAGTCTGACATTTAACATCTTTAATCGTTGATTGTTGCCCGTTTATTTAATAGCTTACTGTTGCTACCTAGCCCTAATCCCTTTTTCTTCCTTTTATTTTCCCTTAAAAAAAAAGCAAACAGTTTGCCTTTATTATCTGAGTTATATTTTATATTTTATTTTTCATTTGCCTATTATATGTCAATTATATCTGTCATATGTGATATATGAAGCAGTCTATTACGCCCAAGGGCATAATGAGAGGGCATAATGGATTGTCATCTCATTATGCCCTCAAATGGCTTGTCAAATTGATTGACGGAGTTATATTATGTCATAAAAAAGATGCAACTTGATTCGTATGGAGCACTTTAATGTTGGGCAAACAATAATCATGACATTTGTATATTGGAAATGCATTCTTTGGAACGATGAAAAATAAATTGTTGTATGCACCTCAGGCATTACTCAATATTTAACCCTCGGGCGACTTACAATCCCTCGGGCCGGAGGCCCCCGGGCTCTGTCGCCCTCGGCATAAATATCGCCTTAATGCCCTTGATGCATAAATTACTATTGTTCTAAGTCCCAGGAGAAATTAAACAAAATTTTACGCTCCCTTCAATTTGTGTTTCTTATTCTTCCCCCTTTCTTTTTATAGCATTAGCTTCCTCGACCACTAGGGGGCTATTTTCTAATTTTTGGACACGGCTCCCTAACAGGGAAATAAAAGTTAGTGGCGCCTAAAATTTTACCAGCTCTTATCAATCTAGTCTCTTCGTGAGCAGCCGCAGCCGTGGCTAGGGCTATTAGTCCTTTTTTTGTCAGGTTTATTTTGTACCCCTTTACCCAGTGTCCTTGACCACGTTACACTTCGTAAACCGCATCGAAGTACACATCGACTAAAAAAACAACAGCTGAAAGCGTAAGTGTTTGTTTATAATGAACGTATACGTAAATATTTCATAAACCGTAACTCGTACATATCCGTATCGTTTCCGTAAATTTACTTCGCTGTTTACAATAAACCAAAGATCATATTACAAGTAGTATGATCTTTGACCGTACGTAACTTTGAAACGTTTTCAACCTTTGCGACTATGCGCAAGACTTACATATAGCTTACGTATACGTACGTAAAAATTAAGTTCATTGTAAACACCTTCGTATGTTTCTATACAGTTCAACTTTGCGAAATTTTTACGTTTTGTGTATTTCTTACGTATACGTTCATTGTAAACAAGCACTAAGAGATAACGCATGGAATTCTAATTGCCATCTTCCGATACATATTGGTCTCTGGGAATTGGATTCATATTTCGGAATTGGACGGAATTTGCTCCTAGTGGCGGTTATACATATGCATTTCACCCTTTAGATGTAAGTACCGCCATGTGGCATACCGTTTAGTTATCGTGTACCTTCTTTAAATATTTGGGCTGTTAGTAGCAGTTGTGCGGTAATTTCTATTGACAATCGGTGCTTCACATACCATTAGCCCTCTTATATACGTAAGAAGTATATAAAAGAAGGGAGGTTACTCGTTGTGGCAGATGCTCTTTGTCGCGTGGAGACAATTTCCGTCCCCACTTCTTTGATTTCCCGAGCCACCAGCGAAGCACAACCAACGGACGAAGAATTAACTCAAATCCTAAGCAACCCTCTCCCGAAATTTCACCTACTCAACATAGGCATGTCATGCGCACACTAGAATTGAATGGAACGATCCAACCATATCTACCAGTCTTACTACGACGCCACGTTTTTGAAACCGTCCATAATCTATCCCATCCCAGCGGTTGAGGCACTGCCAAGCGTATAGCCCTTAGGTTCTTTTGCCCGAGTCTACGCAAAGGCGTCCTTTGCTGGTCTGCGCACTGGTAGTGCGTTGGGCTATAAATCCGGAGGTCGGGTGTTCGAACCTGGGTTGAGGTGGATGTTTCATCTGTGGCAGAGATAGGGGTTACCTTAAATCTGTTTCGAGCATTCTGCCGGCTACTCCGAATTAGGTTTTCCTGCAGTTTTCCTAATTCGTAAGGTAAATACCGGAGTAGTATAGAACAACTTAAGACCTTCTGCAGAGGCACCTCTAAAAGAAAGTCATTGAGGAGAAAGTAGTTGTGGGATCTTCTTAATAGAGGCTGTTACCAATGAGGGACCAAAGGAAGTTTCAAAATAATTTATTTAATTATTCTACGGCGTAATTATCAAAAATATATGTTCTGTAGTATAATTTTGCCGCATAGGGTATTTTTAAACATTTCATTTATGATTCCTTGCCTCCACGTCATGTCATATGCCTCTTTGATGCAAAAAAATACCGCTCTCTATCGTCAAAGGCCTTTATCGGTGTGTTTAACCAAGCGGTCAACTGTTGAGTGGCCTAGCCGAAATCCTACCTACCATTCGAGGGGTAAAATTATCACTGGTCAGAGGGAGTTAAGGGTCCTCTATACATCCCGACGAAATTTGAAACGATCGGAGCGCCCACTAGTGTAGCTAAGTAAAAGTTGTTTTACCTGAATAGTTAAACTGCCAAAGGCAAGGTCACATGTCTTTGAGGGATTCCAAATTACATTACATAAATTAATTTAATTATAATTGCTGTACATTTCTAAACCTTCTCTTTATCTTCAACAGCAAATAATTTGGAATTTTCTAATGACACTCACAAAATTGTAAAGGGGCAATACCGGATTTACCACCCGAACTGAAGGTTACTAGTAATGAAGAAATTAAAAACAATTAGGTAACGAGTTTTCATCCGCCCATTTAAAGAAATTATGGTATACCTACCTAACCCTTTAATGGAAATTTAATCCAACGGTAATTATTTATATTGATGCATTACTATTTTTCTCTGCTAATTTCATATTTAAAACCACTTTCATCAGTGACTTACACTCATTATTTAGTGCGCTAATTTGTTTGTTTTAAAATTTTTTAATATGCCGAAGTGTATGGGGAGTTTGTCACGAAGTTTAAAAAGTCGAAAATCCGCAATGAAGAAATTGTCGCAAAGGTAAGTAATTACACTTACTATATATAATTAATAAACGTAATAAAAAAGTAGCCAAAATCGTTCATTATAGAGTAAGGGGGTTGATTTACTATTCATGTGTTACATATTTTTTGGGCATGGACTTTATGAGTATGCGTATTCAATATATTTTTGTCTGTAGGAGATGGAATTCTATAATGCCCAAAATGGACCAAGTAGTCCCCACAACAGTGCCTCTTTGCAGTTCAAATGATGTTGATAACAATTCTTCTGATAAAACTGGGCCACCTGATTATTTAAGCAAAGGTGAAGAAGAAGCAGTTGTTAGTACTAGTTGTTATAATAGTGATTCTGATACGGAGTTGGACGAACTAGTCCTTGAACTTGAACCTGAACCAATAGCGTCCTGTAGTTATGACAATATAGATAGCAACTTTGTCAATGCAACTGATCCATTTCACAATTTCAACAAAGATGACGAGGAAGTAATTACTACCATTAGCGGCGATTCTAGTGACGGCACTGATATCTGACGGCACTGATAATGAGACAGATCTGGATGTTATCAAACCAAAAAAAAGTAATTGCTTAGTAAGGCGGCGCATAATTGAAATAAAATATTTTCTGGACGAATTAAGATCTTTGAAACACAAAGGTAAGTACATTTAAAACTAAAATTAATAGAGATATAATGCTAATATGTATTTCTGTTTTAGGGTTTGATTGTTCTTTTTTTTGATATGGAGGTTTTATCCGAAAAAATTGAAGGATTTCAAAGTAAAATATCATTTAAATGCAACGTTTGTAATATTATCCAAATTGTTAATACAGAAAATCCGAATAAGAAGGATTTTCCAACAAATTGTGCCGTTGTCGCTGGAGCAATATCAATTGGGGTTGGATATTCTCAAATAAACGAGTTTGTATCATGTTTAAACATTCCAAATATGTCCAATGCAACATATTTACGCTATCACTCTAATTTGAGTAAAAATATACACGACGAAAACATTAAACTAATGAATACCGCTGCCCAAGAGGAAAGAAGGTTGGCTGTTGAATCTGGCCACGTATCTGAACAAGGTGTTCCTATAATTCCAGTGATTGTTGATGGCGCATGGAGTAAACGTTCCTATCGTACAAACTACAATGCTTTATCTGGAGTTGTAAGTACTTTTTTCTATGTTACTGAAAACATTATATTTGCTTCTTTCTAGGCCTGTATAATTGGAGCGAAAACTAAGAAAATTCTTTACATGGGGGTTAAAAATAAATACTGTTTCGTCTGTACTAGGGCAAGTACTCCAGTAGAACATTCTTGTTTCAAAAATTGGGATAGAAGTTCCACGGCAATGGAAGCTGAAATAATCGCCGAAGGGTTTCAATCATCTATTAAAAGTCATAATTTGATCTATGGCAAAATTATTGGGGATGGGGACAGCACTGTATATAAAAAAGTTGTTGAGGTATCCCCATATGGACCAACTTTTGTTGTAGAGAAAATTGAATGCCGAAATCACCTCATTAGGAATTACATAAATAAAATTTCAGAATTGTCCAAAGATACCAAATTCCCCATTCATCTCAGGAGAATAGTAACTAATACAGATGTTTTGGGTCGCTTCCGAAACGCGATAACGAAAGCTATTGCCTTTAGAAAACAGGGTCCTGATGCTGAAAATACAAAAGTCGCTCTTTTAAAAAAAGATATTGAAAATGGGCCAAATCATATATTTGGGGACCACTCTAATTGCGACGGTTACTTCTGTTCTGGAAATAAAGATCAGGTAATGATATTGACGCATTGTTGCACAGAATAATTTTACGTTATTTGTATCTGTTTAGGAAAATTTAGTACCTACATTAAAATTGTCTGGTATTTTTGAACCAATTGTCACTGCAAATCGTAGACTAGCAAATAATGCTGCTAGTTTGTTACAAGATGTAGACACAAATGCAGCCGAAAGCTACAATTCCGTCGTTGCCAAATTTGTCGGTGGGAAGCGGATCAATTATTCCTTAAAAAACTCTTACCAGACTAGATGTGAGGCGGCTTCGATTTCATACAACACTGGTGGTGGTTTTCTTGCAAAAGTTCAAGAAAGAATGTGTGGTACTATTGATCATTATACCCGTATATTTCACGAGCGGAAGATGCGAAGGGTACATGTAAATAGAAGTAAGTTGGTATTATTTCATTAATTTCATTTTAATTAGGAGTAATATTTTTCTAGAAAAAGCACCGAAAAGAAAACATTTTGCTACAGCAGACAGTCATTATGGGCCTAGCGCAAACCAACCAGAGGAGGACATGGGCTCAGAATTGTATAAAAAAAAACGTCAAGAGTTCCTAGAAGTTTTACGATGTGCGGACAAGAAAAAGATTTGTATGGAAACGGCATCGCAATCAAAGTCCAACCTTTGGTATCAAGAGCGCAAAAAACGAATTACCGCTTCAAATTTTGGCAGAGTTTGTAAACTACGCAAAACAACTTCCACCGCTAAGCTAGTTTCACAGTTGCTTTACACTACATTTGCCGGTAACAGTAGTACAACATTTGGTTTGGAAAATGAAGAAACGGCAATTAAATTATTTCAAAATGCTCATAACGTCAGTGTAACGCAAAGTGGTTTGGTAATTGATGATGAATTACCATATTTGGCTTGCTCCCCGGATGGATTAGTGGGTAACAATTGTATAATAGAAATCAAATGTTCACCAAAAAGTGGGCCCTTATCTCCATTGGAAGGCGCAAAACAAAAAAAAATTGATTTTTGTGTAATTGAAAATGGCAAACTTACACTCAAACGAAGTCATAATTACTATTACCAAATACAAGGCGCATTGCATATTTGTAAAAAACAACTGTGTTATTTTATAATATATACATTAGGAGGATTACATGTGGAAACCATTGAACGGTAAGCTAAGTTCTAATTTTCAAACAAAAACAATAAAATTATTTTGTAGCGATGACGATTTTTGGGAAACGAAGATGAAAGAAAAATTGGCCGACTTTTATTTTAATTCGTTACTGCCAGAAATTATCGATCCTAGGAGATGCCGCCAACTTCAATTGCGAGATATTTATAGCAAAATCTAATAGCTTTTTTTATTGTCATTGTTGTCATTTTAATAAAACATATACAATTTTAATTGAAGGTAATAATTACTAGGTGTTTTAATTTAGCTGCTTATTAGTGATTAAATAATACAATGTGTCTAATGATACCATTATTTTTCTGCAATACAATACAATTTTCAGGTAAGTGAGTAGGTGCAACTAATTAGCATTCCATTTACCTCTTGTAATACTTTGGGAATTCCCTAATCCCTCTTACACATTTCAACTTTTAGCCTGAAGGCAATGTGTCATTTCGGATTTTTATGCAGATTTCATCAAACTTTTACTCCTCATAACGCAATTAATAAAAAAGTTGAAAAGAATTGCTCAATATGTAGCAATTCTAACGCTTAATTCGAACTTATTGTCGGAAAGATTTTTTTGATAACTTCATTGGTTCGCTAGATCCGTTAATTACATAAAAAACGTAAAAAACGATCCGGCAAAATTTTCGCCGCACCGTGTACATTAATATCCAGGTTCTAGAAATTTGTAGACTTCAACCCTAATGACGTTATGAGGGTCGAAAGTTTGTAAAAGCATGATGGGTTGCCTAACCCCTCTATAGAGGACCCTAAAGAATGCTTTGTTTTAGTGCTTCGCTTACTCCAAGGTTTCTGAATATTCTTTCGATACCAAAAAATTAACATTTTAGTTTTACTACAGCGACAATGGCATTTAAAAGCTCAAAGAATGTATAACTGCAATTGTTATTTATCATCACCGTAAAGCAACTATAAAGAATGTTTATTGAATCCAAATACACCTACGGATTTGTCAGTTTTATCACAATGGATATATTCGTTGAGAATCCTTCATGTGGGTAGTGCAAGTGCAAATGCTTCTACAAAAGAAGAAATACTAACAGTAGGTTACATATAACATTCATTTACCTTAATCCGTTCAAAGTCAATCTTGATGTTCTTCAAGGAGAAGTGGAGTACCTACTTCCACCTAATAACACAACTATTGAAATGAACACTAAACGTTTGTATAGTGTAATATTTATCGCTATCTTAACAGCATTGGCTCTTCCTCTAGGAACACACCAGCATATACGGTTAATATATACCTAGTTAGGTTAATCAGATTAAATCATTGTATGTTAATGTATACTTATTAGAAATGCATACCTTAAATTCTTTTTCCTAAGTGTAGCCGATTAACAACTTCTGTACTAACTGCAGTACGATGGGCACATATTTAGCAGAGGATTTTTTATGAAAATTAATTAGTATAACTGTATAGCTCATTTTTTTTTCGGAAGTTACCTACCAATTCTAATTGGTTAGGCAAGTCGAATACTTAGAAACATGGCTAAATTACAAAATCCATCCCGTTAGAACCTTAGTAGGTACTTAAGATACAAGCACGTAATTCCTAATCTGATTAAAAACAGTAATTGGTTACACTTGTCAAATTTACTAATTAAATTCATATCAGCATCCAGTGATTAAGTGTATAATCACTTATATTCTGTCAGAACTGATTTAAAGAGGAAGAACACATAATTATTAAACAAATGCATTCCCGATTATTTTATCTTACAAGCCAAATTACATAAGTTCGTACGACGGGGTTAATAAGAATGTAAAAATTTACATTTTAAACGGATGTTCGATTCGGAACCGAATGCATTTCTTATGCATAACAATTCACCAAGTAAATGCCAATGTGCAACCGACAATAGGATTCATTTTTCAAGTGCTTGTACCGAACTGTTGTTGCTATTTTAAAACAACGGGAATTCTCGGACATGAATCAAACCTTTCAATATGCTAATGTGCGTTGGCCCAGCACATCCATCACCGCGACACTGACATGACAAATCACCCTCCAGACCCGCCAGGGCAACCGTGCCCCTCTCAGATTCAAATTGATCTTGTATAATAAAGAGCTACTTTGAACGAAACGACCTTTGTTAAAAAAAATTGAAAATGTCACATAAATTCGAAAAAAAAGAGGCGGTCGGAAAACCAATACTAATTACGTTCCTTTCATTTCCACGCCCTTAATTAATAAAACCACCTAAACCCTTAAAAGCTTAGTAATAACATATATCATACTTGAGATAACTTTGCCTCGCGTTGTGTTATCCATGTTCCATCAAAACTTCGTACATACCTGGAACACTAAATCATTATTTAAAGGCGAATTCGATTTACATAACTAATGAACCTACCTTTCCAGTTAACCAAACTATTCGAAAAATTATAAACTTTTAAAACAATGAATAAATTTAAACGCTTCACCTGGGCCATTGCATTTCTTTAAGAGTTCGTTGATATTTGACACCTGCTTTGGGTAACAAGACGGTAAATAATGTTTGTTCTTACGATGCTTTTGTCAACTAACATTCCGGAACTAATTTCTTTTCGTATGTCCCAACCCGCTTCTTTAATGAACAAAAAATATTACATTAGCAATGTTAACAAAGATGGTATCCAAGATGGTTTCTAATGTCACGCGGAAGCGAAAGAGTGCACATATTAACATGTCGGCTACAATTAAAGAATCTAACAGTTAGCATAGCAAAGCTGGCCACTTTTTATGACAACAATTTAACTGTCTACATGTAATATCCTAATCAAAATAGACGTTAAAGGTTTGTTATTGTAGCCGGGAGTCGGAAAAAATAGCACAGCACTTAAAGTAGCCGAAATCTTTTATCAGTGTATCTAAGAAGCATCTCTATACAAACTAGCGTGTACCTAAATGTCTGCGATACAAATACATCTTTCAGGTTATTGACAGATGGCTGGTGTTATAGTTTGCCTAACCATTTACGGACATATTTAATTATGAAATAATGGTTTGCTATAACATTTTCATCTTTAATTTGACATTTTCTGTTTAGATTAAAATATAACCTTACTGCAGATACGCTAATACTAAATTTATTAAGAAGGGATACTAAGGTTTCTTGGTGTAGGTACCATAGGTCTTAGAAACTGACTGTTTATGCCGAATTAGTTACAACGACGGTCCGACTAGCCTAGGATAGTACCTACTATAAAGATGCATCGGGTAGACTTGCTCAACTTAATTAAATTTTGTGAATTTTCACGTTTTTATAATAGGCGCAGGATTGGAGCGTATCATTTAAAAACTAACTTAACAAGTTAAAAATATAAAAGACATACGCTATTTCTGTCTATTCAAATTTGAAAACCTTGAATCTGCACCCCAATTTGCTACATCTCCAAAGAAGGTGCTCATTTAGAGCCGATTTGAGCTCCAATCTGCAAGTTTTATGCTTCTTTCGTTAGGGGTCTAACTTTGTGACATATCCTCGTACCGACCCGACATGACACTAATACTGCTGCGGCTTTGGGGCTGATTTGTGCGCTAATACTAAGATTTTGTGCGCCTTGCGTTTCGCAAAAATTCCAAATTTCTAGTGGTGCTAACTTAACGCAGCACCCCTCACAATCGGAGAGACTCGAAGCCTACGCTGTAAATTTGCGCCTATTTTGTGGCGATTTGTGCGCCAATCCCAAAGTTTTTCGGACCTTTCGTTTAGCAAAAAGTCACAATTTTTCGTTGGTGGTCCAACCTAATGTTAAA